AAAAAGCCTTTGCAGACAAGCACTGACAGGGCCAGGGTAACCCAGCAAAGGTAAAGCCAGGGCCAAGAGCATCACCTGCAAGCTGGAAGCAGCCTCTCCAGGCAATCAGCTCCCCAAGAGCTGCCCCAAACCCTGCTGCTCCCCAGTCCTAAAGCCAAGAGACCCCAAGGGGGCACTTGCACCTCCAAGGGGAGCCTTTGTAAGGCTGCAGGGTCCCTTTGCAGCCTCAACGGGTGCTGCCAGTGCCATGTTTGGTCTGTGAGTGCCATCTACAGGGTTCCCCAGTGCCCGGGCCCTCACCTGCATGCTCCAATGGAAGCCCCTGCCAAGGACAAGGTGAAACCATGCAGCAAATGCAGCCGCTTGCCTCCTGTGGGGCAAGGATGCAACGAGGAGAGCAGGGACACAAGGAAAGTGGCTTCTCACTTCTTCAGTGCCACTCATGTGCACAGCCAAGCCTTTACAACCACCCTCCTTCCAGAGATGGGTGGAAAGCAGATGGTAGTGCCAGGGAACATCCTTCATTTGATTCAGGCTTTAGTTCTTTGGGCTGAAGAGCCAGGATATCCCCACCAGGCTCCCAAATAAGCCAAACGTAACTCGGTTCTCCTGTTACAGAGGGGCTGGATTTTACAGAGTAGGGATTTTACTGAAGTCTTCTGTACAAGAGAAGGGATTAACGTCACACAGGGAGGAAGGAACAGGAGGAGACTTTGGGAAAGCAAAACCAACCCTGAGATGACTGGTGAAGGTGAGCAGCAGGCAGTGAGAGACATGTGGCCCCAACACACAGGGCAGGCTGATGGTGTCACTGCTGCCAAGCTCAGGCAGTGGGAGGTTCCACGGTGGCACCAGCCCCACAGAACCACAGAGGGAGCAGGTGAAGGGAATGCTTTATTCCACTTGTGTCAGGATACAGGAGGGGGGGATGCTGTAAACCATGGTAAAACAATCAATCGATGCAGGGCTGGTTGCTATTTAAATCAGCAAGTGAAGCAGGAGGTGAAAGACTCGTTCCTCCTTCCCTGGGAGCACAGGCAACACGATGCACTCAGGGGCTGCCTTATTGACTCCTTGGCAAACTGCTCAGAGCACAGCAGATCCCACGTCCAAGGGAAACAAAACAGAAGCACGTTATTAGCACCAGAGAGAGGATGCTCAAATCGCGCTCGCTCAATCTCATTAACCTCAGCAGACGGTGCAGTCGATTTGCCTCGCAGCTCAGCATCAACAGCAGAGGATTCCATGCAGCTTTCCAAGAAGATCAGAGGGGCAATTACACAAAGTTAAGAAATGAGGCTTTGGCTTGATACCATTGGGATTGTTTCAAGCAAACCCTGTAGCTGTCACTTGTGACACACACAGGCTGGTGACTGCAGCATCGGCCTCATGGCCCTGTGCCCATCAGCTCTGACAGCCTTTTGGCACTATTGCCTGGAGCCCTGCACAGGCCAAAGACCACAGAGTCCCCCTCCTGGCTCACTCTGGAGCAAGAAAAGGAGCTGGTGAGGCACGTGTGTTTGTTTGCATCCATGTATTTAAACATAGAATGCTACTGGAAGATCCAACTGTTGCAGAGACCTGCGAGGCTATCAATGCCTGTATCAAATACACATAAAGCACCTAAAACTATAACTGAAGTAACTACTCAGCTGCTCTCTTATTACAGGAACAATGAGAGGCTTTAAAAGCCACTCTCATTAGCAAGATCAACCGCTCCCAAAAGAGCCTGCACCGATTCCCATGGGCTGTTCCACCGCTGGGAGGAAAAGCTGCTCCGACAGCTCCAATTTATTCTTCCAGGAGGCATGGAGCAGCGATGCCAAGCAACAGACTTGTCCTCAAAGGAGCCTCGCATCTGTGATCAGCATCTTTGTCTTCTCCTCTGAGAAAATGCCTTTAAGGATACTTTAGAATGGAGCAGGAATGCAAGGTCCTGGCCTGCAAAGAGCAAACCCAGGCCCAGGCCTCCAAGGTTCAGGATGCTTCAGGGGGAAATGAAAACAGCCACACAGGGGCATTGATTACAGCTCAAACCAGGCTCCAGACAAAACAGGATCAGAGCAGAAGGGATTGCAATGCTATGCTATAGCCTCACCATCACCTTTTTCCTCTCTACCCTTTAAAGACTCTGAAGAGCCGTGTCCCCTGGGCTGGCAGATCCTCCATTACCATGTGCATACACAGCAGCAAAACCCAGGCCTCATTATGTGCTCTGGCTCATTCCTTCCACACCTTTCCCTGCTCAAATTCTAAATTATCTATTACAGCCAAATCAAATCCTAGCAAAAACCACGTTCGCTGCAGGACCTGCGGCTCGAGGTCTCCTCTTATCAAAACCACCCCACTTTTAATACTAAAAAAGAGATCATCCACTCCTGCAAGGTGAGGAAACGGCCAAATTGCAACCCCCACCTGTCTAACAAGGAGCAGAGCCTAAAGAATGATCAAGCTCATTGCCTCGGGTAAAGAAAGGCCAAGGAATGGCTGAGCAGAGGCATGCATGGCAGTGGGCTGAAGCAGAGCCAGGCTGACCCGGCTCTGGCACAGAGCCCTCAGCTCTGCACAGGGAGCTGAAGAGGCAGAGGAAGCGATCAGCACATGCACAGGCCTGCCGGGCTATGCAGGATCAAGGAAGACACGCTACCACGAATCAAACACATCAGCTCTCTGATCACCCAAGGGGCAGCAACGGCCAGGTTTAGCCATTACTCCATCCTCAGAGAGGAACGCAGCGAACGCTTTCATCTCCGCATCAGCTAAACAAGCAGAAAGTACCTAAAAGAGGCATGAAAGGATACAAATGATATGAAATTAGGGCACATCCAGGTGCTGTGTTCACATGACAGCATTACTAAAAATATATATATATATATATTCAAAATCTTTTGCACGTGTGCAAGACAGCACCTGAGCGATGCTTCTCCAGGAAACCTCACCCACTGCACAGAGAAACGCTGCCCCTCACACTGGACAGCATCACGATCACACATCACTCCCTCAGCCACTGCACGAGGGGCCTCAGAGCACCAGAGACCCCCTGCAGAACCGCCCTTGCTGTTTGGTTAAGGACAGCTCTTTCTGCTGAGGTTTGTCCCCTTATGTGCAGTGGATTTGCTAACTAAAAGGAAGGAACCATTACTCCAAAGCTGTCTCAAACTTCATCTCAAAGGCGAGGTCAATGGGGGAACTCCCTGACCTGCAGGGTGACTCCCTTGGGTTCTCCTAACAAAGGCACTACCAGTTTTGGGTGGGGTGGGACCTGAGGATACAGGTCTGCAGTACCCATAGTTTTCAAGGGTGGGCCTTCCCTTCAAGCCTAAAATGTGCCCTAAACATGAGCACTGAGCAGGCAGTTTCACCATTGTAGCAGCAGCTCCACCTAACAATGCCTTTCTAACACATTCACATTTGGTCCTGGACTCTAAGAACCCAAATACGAACACAATGGGCTGCACAGAAACATCCCAGTTTGCTGGGCAGACACTGGGACACAGCGTGAGTACCAGCAAATGGAGTGAAACTCCAGTACCCTTCAAGAACAGAGTCAATCTGAGCCAGGGCTGTCTTGGTTTAAGAGTCACAACCTGCAGGGGTTTGGGTCCTGCTTTTCCAGCTATCAGATGCTCAGACAGGTCACTCATCACACCAGCAGTGAAGGTGCCCTAGCCAGACTGCAGGGCTCCAGCTCTTCCTCAGGTGATCACAGACAGAGAGAGCAGCTCAGCATCCCACAGCTTGGTGAGCACCCCATGGGAACAGTCTGAACACCCCACAAGCCTGATTCCTCTTTTGGGGACCTGCTCCTCAGGGCTAAGTGGCACCTTTTGCTTGTAAACATGTCTTTGTAAACTCATGTCACGACCTGTTACTACCTCGTGTAACTGCTCACCTGCAACTACAAGCAAATGGACGCGTTTAACTCATACTTGGAACTGACAGGACGCTATCCACACCCAGCACTAGTGTAACAGACAACAGGAGTTCTCCCAGCTCCTACCAGTTGATTCCAGAGACACTTCCAAAAGAAGTAACCTAATGCTGCATGAAGGAACGAGGAGCAGCCTGTAAAGGAATCCACTCGCCTGCTACATCAAGCTGACAGCCACAGGAAGTAGAGAGGGATATGAACACCTATAAAACACACAGCTGCAGCATTTGAGTCCAGAGGGGGAAGATTACAAATGCTGAGCATCCATCCAGGAGTCACGCTCTCCTCAGCACCTCCCTATGCAGGTAACAGCACCCAAGGCAGCATCCCTTAGCTTGCAGCTCTGCCTTTCCCTAAAAATGGGTGTGAAGAAAACAGGTTTGGTCCCCTTTCCCCCGCCCCAGCTATGGAAGTGTTTGCACTGTTCATTAATAGTCGTTTGAAGCAAATATAGAACACAAAACTCGAGCACTGCTGATCCTGCTGGACTGGCAGCCCCTTTGGTCAGTCTGCGCCGTTGGTCCCAAATCATCTGGAAAGAAGAAGATACCAAACATCAGTGTGATGGGAGAGCGTGGCAGATCACTACCGACCTCAGGACAGCTGGGGGAGCTGAGGGGCCAGGCAGCCAGCACACCCAGGCAACGACTCATCAGCTCCTCCTCAGCCTCTCAAACCTGCCTGAGAATCCCGACGGGTGTCATCCAGGGGGTGAAATCACAGCACTGGGAAAGCAGGAACGGATGCCTCAACGGCAACAGGAGGTTTAGCTTAGGGGAAGTTCCTATACTGAAACAAGGAGGTTTTGTTTTCCTGCCTCAGCTTGGACACACGGGCTCGGTCCCTCCTAGGGGCCAGCTGAGCACAAAGCAGTGCTCCAAACAACCCGGGGTACGTCCCTTTCAGTGCATTTGGTCACACAGACGAAGAAAGGCGAGATGAAGCCTGTGTGCCAACACAGGCAGACCACACACAGGGGTGTTAATGTATGCAGATCTCGTTACGGGATCTGTGCCAAAGCTCCCACACCCTTAGGAAAGGAGGAGAGAGAAACACACGACCCAGGCGCTTACCGCCGCAGGTTCCTCATCTCAAACACCGTGTCCTCGTCGCTGTCGAGCGAGGCCATCTCCGTGCTCTCGTCGTAGCTCGACAGGAGCCCGTATTTCTTCCGCTGAGGTTTCTTCAACCTGAAATGAGTTTTTCGCTCGTTTCTGGCTCCCTCTGACCTAGGGCTGGGGAACACAGAGCGCAGAGTGAGGGAAACGGGGCCGGGAGGCGTTTCATGGCTGCTAATGACCTGCGGTAATTAACAGCGGTGGGAGTTTACGGCACCGCTTCACCCCCAATGCAAGGGGGATGCGCAGGGAAGCGCTTGGGATGCAGATGGGTGCGCAGGGAAGCAGAGCTCCGGCCTGGCAGGGGGAAGGAGGGGGAACCCAAAGCAAACGGGGCTCGGGCCAAGCCGGGGCTGTTCCCGGGGCCGGGCCGCACTCACCGGAACGCCCGCAGGAGGAAATAAAGTGCGGCTAGAGCCGAGAGGGCGCTGAGCACATAGACCGCCCGCTTCAGCACCGGCAGCCCCGACCCCGGCAGCAGCCCTGCCCCTGCCCCTGCCCCTGCCCCGGCCGGGCGCCGCGGGCCCAGCGATGGGCTCGGCTGCGTCCCGTTACCCGGGGCCGCCCGGGTGGTGTTGCTCGGGCCCGGGGTGGGAGGAGGAGTGGGGGAAGCGGCCCGGGCGCCGTGGGGCAGCGGCAGGAGGAAGACGAGGAAGAGGAGGAGGAGGCAGAGGGGCCCCGGCCGCAGCATGGCCGGGCCGGGCGCTGTGGAGCGGAGCCTCGGCGGGGCCGGCGCAGGAAGGCGGTGGGACGGTGCCGCGCAGAGCAGGGCCCGGCCAGGCCCGGTGGAGCCGCACGCCGCGTTCCGGGGCAGCACCGTTCCGGGCCGGGCTGGCCCAGCCGCAGGCCGCAACCGACGGGCGCCGCTCCGCCTCCGAGGGCGGCCGCTCCCCGCTCGGCCCCACCGCTCCCAGCACCGGTGTTCCTCACCCCGCACTCTCAGCTCATCAGCTGCGAGCTCCCCCGGGCACACGGCGGGGAAGCGAACGGCGTTTTGTATAGGAACGGCCTTAACAAACCCCAGCCCCTCCATCGCGCATCCAGCCCCGTATCCCTGCTCCCTCAACCCACCCAGCACCACAATGAGCACTGCCTGGTTTGCACCTATCAAGGGAGTCTGCCTGCGTTTCAGCACCTGGTGTCAAGGAAGGTCTTTCAAATAGCACTTGGTGGTTCCAGCTTGGATTAAACATCACCCGACTGCAAAGGATATTGTGATATATTGGGATATATTGTGATATAATCCTCCAGTACCATGCACATCCCATTGATGCATTACTGGATATAAAATGTGGTGGCTGGTTTAAAATTCCATTCATTTAGGTAATATGAAAAAGGTTAAAAAAGGGTTTGAGTAAAGAAGCTCCATAATCATCCCCATTCCATAGACACAAGCAGCCCCTCATAGTCCTGATGGCTCCTGAGCAGCAAGACCACCATACAAATTCCTTTGTGCCTGGGACTCCCCAGCATCTCTCAATGAGAACACAAGGTTTTAAAGCTGCAATACCACTTAGTTCATTTATACCAGCCAAGCATCCTGCCTCTATCACTGCTGCCTGCTCAGGGGAGCTGACTCAAGCAGCAGAGCAGGAGCAGCGGTTACACCTCAGCAGGTTGGCAAGCCCCAGCCTGCCTCAATAACCAGGCTTTAGAGCCTAGACCAGAGAACACACCATCAACTCTGCCCTTCAAACACCCTGCAGCACTCATTGTCATTGCACCAGACCCATGTGATGTCTCCCAAGACACTCGGGCTGTACGAGCAGGCTTCTTTGCATAACACACTATTAAAAGTGTCCTTCAAGCAGGGCAAAGCACAACCAAAAGCCAGAGAGGTAACAGTACAAAGGGGAAAAGGCAGGATAAAGCAATCAACTGCTCTTTCAACACAAAAAAAGGTGGGCAGGGTAGCAGAAACCATCAGAAACCCTCCTCCTTGCCTACAATACCAGTGCAGTCTCCTGCCCCATTCTCTTTAAAGCTGCCTAAAACACATTCACAGCCACCAGCCTCTCTGGCAGTGTAAATCCTCATCACTGAGCTGCCACGGTTTCAGGTTTGAGCTGGGAACAAGAGCTGGCTGTTCCTGAGCATCAGGTCACAGAGGGGTTCTGGCAGGTCTCATTTTGGAGCCCCATGCCAGGCCATCAGGCCAGTGGGAATTAGAAGTCAACGAAGCTGCTACCTTTGTGAGCAGCAGAAAGACACCTGAGCTTTCATCAGCAGAACTTCAACTGCTCCCATGCATGGGGAAGGAAATCGTTACCCAAGCTCAAAAACCAGATTTAGCACTTAAGTGCAAATGACTTTTGTATTTTCTACCATTTCAACGGGAAGATCAGCTTCTGTTCTACAAACCCCAACTCCTTGTTCATGTCATTTCTCATCCAACAGCTCCCTTCAGCTACTGAAGTTCTGCAGATGCACAACCCTCATGTAATACAAGGTTATGAAATGCAATTGACTTTCTCCCTCGAACTTGCCCTTGAAGTTGCTCTCTGTTCCCCCCCAACCAGAACAGCACAGGTTTCATTGTGTATTTTTAACTGGGCTATACACCAGATACCCAGATCCTATTGTACACCTGGGCCACATCCAGTATTCCTGTGTTTTCCCCACGAAAGCACTATGGAGCTCCATGGGGGTTTTCCACATTCCAGTATTTTATTCCAGCTTAAGTGCCTTGTTCCATTGATCTATATATTTAAAAGATCAGAAACACCCCTGCTCCAAGCTCTTCATCTCCACCTCTCCAGTCAGCAGCCATTCTTCTGGGTCTTCTGATACATTTCATTGCTGCAATGAAATGAAGACGTTGGATTTAAAGGGAGACAAAAAGCCATGGAAATGTTCACCTAAAAAACCCCACCAGTTTTGACATCACCACTAACAGAACCAGGGAGAAGCTGCTGGTTCAGGCAGAGGGACTGAAGAGACCTTACCTGGTTGGCAAACTCCTGTGTTGGTCCCGCTTCCTCACAACGAAGGCTCTCCTGTCCTCAAATCCCCACTCAGCTTCCGTGTTGAGTATCCCTCCTCTCTTCAGCCTGCCAAAGCAAAGGTGCATTAATAGAGGTATCAACTGGAGACTTCACATTGCCACCCGCCTCCCCCAGCACGAGTCACATCAGATACAAGGGTTTCACAAGCCATTCGCTGAACCCATCACACCACAGAAGCACAGTCTGGGAAAACTGTTCCGGGCTGGCTGATGCCTTGGACACACCAGCCAATGAATCATTTGATCCCTAAGCAGAGAGTTAACCACTTTGACATGGCTGCTTAGGAGGTGTGGGCTATGGGAAAAAGTTAATGGCAACAAGTAGGATGGCAAAGAAAGCTACAATTAAAGTGAGCAACTTAATGAAGTCTAGAAAGATTCTCAATAGATGAACACATATCGAGTCAGGGAATTCATTTCCCATCTTGCTTCCATACCTACTAGCAAGACATGACTGCATGCCCATCTCTGATCTGTGGAACCGAAGTTGTGCCACAAGCCAAAGGTTGCATACGGCATGGGTTACAATTTTTCCCTCAGTTGACCAAAATTGCCAAAGGAATATTTTCACAGGTACATTAGACTTTCAAATGAGCTCTCAACAAGAGGAAGGATGCGGACATGAGCAAAAGGAGTTACCTCGAATTACAGGACTATTTCCACATATGAACTAGCCAAGAGAGCAGCTTTCGTCTCAGAGGTTTCTGTTGGAGGCACAACACTTCTTTTCTCCAAGGACACTGCAGTTTTCATATGCTAGCAAAGAATTCTTAGAACTTGTAAGGCAATGACAAAGCTACCTAATCACGGCAATTTACCTACCAGTGAACACTTGTCAAGTTCCTACCGAGTCCAGTTACCAAAGGACTGATTCTTTACTACAGCTTGTCAATGTAGGCTACTTCAGCATTAAGGAAACATCAATCATCCTACCTAACACTGGCATTCCCTCAGCTGCTGACTTAGGCTTTGAGTGCTGAAGCATCCAACAGCGTGTGCTTTCAGTCCTCCTATGTGAAAGTATGTTCAGTTCACATGTCAAGACCGATTCAGATTAGAATCTAGCAGCTGGTCAGTAACTCTGGCTCGCTCTTACACTGCCACTTGCTTCTCCTCTGACATCCTCTACTAAAGACTGTTCTTTTGTCTTCAAGGGTTGTGTTGTGCAATGAAATGTACATGTCAGGAGCAGAGTTCATTTCAGACGGTCTTTTAATAGGCTTCGTAAAGCCAAAGAAAACTGTATACAAGAATCCTTTACCACTTCAAATACAATATCAATGGAATATGCATTATTTCTTCCAGTAAAAAAGGACAATATAAATAAACATTTTCAAGAACCTCTTTTATGGTAAGTTTGCAAGTCTATTTCTGGGTAATTTACATCATTACAACAGTAAAAATACCGTTATGCAGGTTGAACATACAAGCAAGTTTCTCTTTAGATATATCAAGGTGGTTTGCCTTCCAATTTGTACCCAGGCTGCATTCCTACCTTGCTACACTAAAGGAATGTTACAAAAGACGAAGGTAATGCACTTAAAAAAAGAAAAGGTAAGTCCACAGCTTGTTCAGCTTCCAGTGAACATTGAATTAAAGGTCCTTTCTATCTCAAAAGAAAACTGATTCGGGGCCCCAACTTCACCACTTGCAAAAGAAAAAACACCTTGGCTCATCATGGGAGGGCAAAATAAAACGTGAAGTGCTTTCAAAAAAAGATTAAAAACACTTGAAAGCCGAGCTTTCTTAAAAGGAAAGTCTAATCAGACCATCTCGTATCAGAAGCTGTCAGGCTGTGTTTGACAAGATTCAAACTGATAATACTACAAAAGTGGAAATACAAGTAGATGTACTACACAATAACCATTTCAGCGAAGCTCCAAAAATCTTTATAAATACAGCCATTGGAAGGACGATCTTGAGTCAGGAAGGATTTTTACTCGTTGTGTGTAGCTGAGGACAAGAAGCAGGCACAATTGTAAAGGCACTGAAGCATAGACAAGTTCCAGCATTTTACTCCCTTGCATTATTTCAGAAGCTAGTGCTAAGTTTGGCTACATCGCAAGAGAAACTTCCCCCACCCTTGATTAAAGTTTGTTAGGGCATCCGAGTTTTGTCTTTAGTCTCAAGCTTGAGGAATGTACTTTAAAAGCTCCCTTTGCCTTAGATCCAAGCAACTCCTACACATGCATTACAAATTAGAAACTTAACTGGCACAACCACGTCCAAAGCCTGACAGATTGGTTCTTACGGGCAAGAACGGCAATAGCGGTACAGTCCGACTGAGCATCTCCAGACTCAAAGTACAGGGTCAGAAGGTTTAGAGTTCCTACAGCAAACGTACTCATCGTTCCCATTTGAACCAGGGCTTACCGTAACTGTCATAGCTGTCTCTGTATGATCCTCCTGATGACCTGTCTCCATAGCCACCTTGACTCCTGCTGTGAGAAACAGTCACCCGCTTTATATTTGCTCCTGGAGCCTATTGACACATATGCCCAAGAAGCAACGGGCTTAAAGAGCTTTGCAACTAGCACGTGGGATGACTTTACCTGCTATTATAGTAGTCTCTGGAGCCGTTATATCCCCCGCTTCTGGAATCAAATCTGCTTCCGCCATAGCCTCTGTCTCCACCACCTTGAACAAACACAGGTCATGGGTTCCTAAGCATCCCGACAAACACCACCACTGCCCCACACGCTCAAGTGCCCCCCACGTCCACTCACCTCTGGAGAAGCCACGGCCCCGACCTCTGCCCCCACGGAAAAAGCCTCTGCCCCCAGAAGAGCCCCCTCTGTAGCCGCGGGATCTGTTCTCTGATGATTTCCCAGCCTGATCGACTCTGATCTGTCGTCCATCTACAGACTGGCACACAGAAAACACACCGATTTGGTATTTAAACAGCAAAAAAATACATGCAATGGGTTACAGGCTTTTACTACCAGCTATGCAGCATCCGATGCTACCAGTTCTTACAATAGTTTTATTTCACATTAATTAATAAATGCAGATACACAATTAATGCTTCAGGTATACACAGGTATTCCTATAAAGCAGCATTATTTTTTAGTCATATAAGCCACGTTGTACAACTTTAACGACTCATAATTAAACTGTGTTAATGTTCTACTACTCATCTGCTCTACATAACCCTCATGCTTCTCTTAGTATGCTATAGGAAATAAAGCTGCTCCAAAGCCTCCTTACCTTCCCATTCATGGCCATCATCGCATCTTTAGCGTCATCTATGTTTTCAAAAGTGACAAAGCCAAAACCTCTGGACCTCTGAGTCTCTCTGTCTTTCACCACCACAACTATAAAGAAAGGAAGCAAAAAACCCCAAGCCATGAGCACCAGTGCGATGAGACAAACGGATGGGAGCATCCAGCTGGGCGCTGCAGCCTTACCTTCAGAGATCTGTCCGTATTTAGAGAAGACTTGTTCCAGCGACTGCTCGTTGGTGTCAAAACTCAGACCTCCGACAAAGAGTTTTCCCTCATCTGATGCCATTCTGACCTGCGGAGGCAGCATCCCAGATTAAATACTTCCACAAAGCTAGAACCGTTTTCAACAGCCTCACACAGGGCACACGCTCCGCCTCCACGGAAGCGGCGATTTATGTTATAGGAAAGAGCCCACAAACCGGCTCTGCTCATGGAGCAAGCCCGAGGCCGGGGGCCACCGGAGCCTCGGCCCCGACAAGGCCCGGGCCGGGGCCCTGAGGCCGCTCAGGCCCCGCCGCGGAGCCCCCTCCCCGGGTCCCACCGCGCATGCGCGCCCCGCAGCGCCAGCACCGCCCCTCACGCCCCGCCCACCGGCGCACGCGCACTCCGCCGCCCCTCCTCCCGCCAGCCGCCATTTTGCACGGTGGAGGCTTGTCGCCATTTTGTTTCCGAAGGAGTGCTCCGGCCCTCCCGGTCCCTTCTCCTGCCCGGCAAGCAGCCGGGGTAGCTCCGCCGGGCTCCCCGCACGTCCCGGAGGACAGCTACGCCGCGGGGCGGGCGCCATGCCCGGATTACCCCCGGGAACAAGCCCTGCACGCCTAACACACGTTTGCTTTCGCTCCAGCACTCCGAGCGCCCCGGCCCAGCCCGGCCGCAGCCCGCGGGCGCCTTACCGGTGCCCTGGCGCAGCAGCGTCCACGCAGCACTTCAAAGCCTCAACGCGATGTGCAATGGGGCCGGCGGGGCGGTGGCTTATAAACGGCGACTGTTTGCTCCGCCCACCTCCTGAATATGCAGATTAATCCCGCTGAGGGGCGGAGCGAGTGACGACACCAAAGCGCTGCCGCCGCTGCACCTCCTGGTTGGGCCGGAGCTCGTTAATATTCATGAGCGCGGCGGGGGGCGAGGGGCGGGGGGCGCGAGCACAAAACCGCAGCTTCCTTCCCCCGGCCCCGCCTCCCTCGTGTGGGCGGGGCGCGGAGGGCGGCGCCGATTGGCTGGGAGCGCGGAAGCCATTGGCGGGGAGAGCCCCTGTGAGAAGGAAGGAAGTGGAGGCAGCTGATTGGCTGCCGCGGCTCCCGGGGGGCGTGTCCGCGCTGCCCCAGTTTCGCGCCCTTCGCGGCAATGCGGTGGCTGCTGCAGACAAAGGGGCCGCCTGAGGGGCCGCCGCCATCTTGGGCCCGGTCTCCCCGTGGCCTCCGGGCCGGTCCTGCCGCCGGCAGCGGGGCTCCCGCTCCGCCATCCCGCAGCGCCCTGCGCCTCCGCTCTCCCCTCCTCAGAGCGAGGCGCTCAGGGCGAGCTGTCCCCACGTCTCCCCAGGCCTTGGCTCCCAGAGCGTGGCCCCGTGGCATGGCGGTTAGTTCTCTTGTCAGAGCAGGCCCATGGCCGCGTCTTCTGCCCTAGAGCCTCCCGGGGCGGCTCCGCTCACTGCAGCTCTGCCTTGTCCCAGCTCCTGTGGCAGCGGAGGGGAATGGTCCCCACAGCATGCCGCTGCACCCTGACCAGTGAATACACAGCTGCTTCACTGGTTCCATAGCATGAAGCTGGGGGGGGGGGGGTGTGCAGCAATAATAAAACTCTGCTCAGCCCATTAATAAATAGTGAAAAGGGGTGTTTTCTTTAAGGTAAGGATGTCCTCAGCATTAAAAACTTCCTTATTGAAAGGGAAAAATGTGGCAAAGCTGAACACAAGGGATGGGTTCAGAAAGCCCTAAAAATAAAGCTTTTTCCAGTTGTTCCCTACGATCACTATAGAAAACATAAAACTGGTTAAAAATTGTTGTATTTTATCTGACAGGAGGAAACGCAGCAGAGGAAGCGTGGGCAGGAGCTCGGGGAAAGGAAGAGGCCAAGGTTGGACTGGGCCCGGAGGTCACCTCGTGTCCGCCCTGCCTGGAAACGGCCTTCCCGGCGAGCAGCGGGATGCACATTCCAAGCTCCTTCCCCCTATGGAGCTGTTCCTGGTCGGAGCAGGGTGGCACGGAATAGTCAGTGCTGCTGGAGGTGCCGAGAGCAGGGCTCTGTGGGTGTGCAGATAACGCCATGCGTTTCCTAACCCAGCGCTGACAGAGACCGCAGTGAAACACGAAGGCTTCTGCCCACTATTGTTCTGGGAAAGCCACCAGAACCCTTGTGCAGCCCAGAGCAAGGAAATGGGGCTTTTCCTCTCTCTTTTGTTATTTTAACCTGTCTGTATCTACCGAAGCCTAGTGCCTGGGGTCTCCAGGAAAAGGGTTGTTTTGGACGCAAGCACTGTATAGTCATTATGAAATACAGAGGAATCTCGGTATCGAACTCACCCCCAATCTCAGCTGCTTACACACAAAAAGAGGGGTTTCGTTCCTCCTCAGCGCAGTTCTCACCACACCACCCGGTTCTGTGTTGCAGTGCTACAGGACCAGCACGTGAAAACCAGTCTTGACGAAGTACCAACCCTTCCCTGCTGTGATAAAGCTTAATAACTTTCTGGCCCTGAGAGCAAATGAACAACTATATACATGTTACACACATGAACTTTTAAGTCCCTTCCAACCCAAACCAATCTAAGACACAACTGAGTGTATCCACTATGTTTTGCAGTAAAAGGAGAAGAAAAGGTTCACCGCTCAGTGTTAGAGCCCTTAAAACCAGGGTGAAACTGTGAAAGAAGGATTTATGCTTCCAGATTTGAGGAGGGTTCTTTGGTTTCAAACTCTGGGTTTGAATTACTGAGTAAGCCTGGGATGGGTTTTAATTCCACCTAATTCTGCATGCTCCATCATCCAAGGAAGAGCAAGGAGGCTCCTTTGCCGCTGAAGGCTGCAAGTCAGTTTTTGCCCTTTGAGAAGGGAGAGGAGAGCCCAGTGCTGAGCTTGCCTCCCTGGCACTTGGATTAGATCAGAGACACTTTAATGGGAGCATTTGTGGCCCACAATGAGCGTGCATGAAGTGACCTTGATGCATGGTGCTGGTTCCCAAGTGCACTGAGGATGAGGATGGCCACGCTGGGATGCTGATGGGGAGGAACAGTGCCGCCAGCCTGCTGCAGAGACCATCCCTGCTGCAAAGGTGAAGGCACAAACATGGGTTTTAACCGACTTGAACTCCTCATGCAAAGCCAATGCAGGTCAGTGTTGAAGCCTTGTTAACCTTCCTGCTCAGCTGCCCGCATGTGCTCTGTGTTCTGGCATCATGTTCCTCCCCCTGCACCTAAGCACAGCAGCAGGACCACCCCTCCTGCAAGCAGCAGCTGAAGCAGCAGAGCGGCAAACACTAACCACAGACCCAGCCCTTTGTGTTTGATGGGATCACAAGGAATGAGGGAATGTGAGGCTGGACTCAGCCAGGGGTTCCCCGCAGCCTCCATCCAAATCTATGGCTCTGTCCTGGCTTCCCTGCGGGGTCAGCCTGTGCCGCAAACCGGAGCAGCCTCCGCAGCAGGGGAACACCAGCAAGAGCACGCACGGTCTCATTGCCAGCCTTGGACCTAGCAGCACCAGGGAAATACTGAGCCAGTCCGGAGTTTGGGAACTATCAGTCCCAAAGCCCACAGGAACAAGACTGTTCCCTTCCCTCTTACCACTTCCCCTGAGGGAGTTGCTTTTCCAGCTTTGCAGTTTGAGAAACAAAACCCCTGACGCAATCGCGCCGTTGCCATGGCAGGAAGCGCCGTGCTCCCCTCTGTGAGTTACCATGACCAGGATTTACCGGTTGTAGGACAAAGCCATCGCAAGCAAAGGGGTCGAGGGGAACAGTGAGGTGAGCAGGAGGGGATACACAAACGTGAGCACTGGGAAACGAGTTCAGCTCTTGATCCGTGCTGGTGAGAGCTCAGCCGCTGCTATTGCCAGCTTTAGCTCTTCCCATTGTCTTGAACCATTCCCTTGCAATGAGTGACCACCTCATACCCAGGTCCCCGATCTCCATTGCTCCACCCCTGTCCCTTACACCAGCAGAGACTGAATCTGGAGCCAGTATGAAGTGGTCTCACCTCAGTTTAGAGTAGCACACACTTCACAGGGGGCAGGTACTCACATGTGGCAGGAGGATGCTGAGCTGCAGACAGGGATCCATGGATCCAGAGGCATCACCTCCAGGAGCAACAACCCCGACTGCTGCTCAGTGGTACCTCACCAGTCTGGAGATGGTGATGGGGAAAGCAGAGGCCACGCTGAGGGGTTTCATCTGCAATAGCTGCTGAGCTGGAGAGGAGGAAGAGCCTGACTCAGAGCCCCAGCATGATGCTCCTTTCTTCCTGGGAGAGGACTTGGGGCTGGGAATGCTGGTGCACCCAGGCTGAGGTTGGGAAGGGACTTGGGGCTGGGAATATGTGTGCACCTGGGCTGAGGTTGGGAAGGGATTAGGGCCTGCGAATGTCGGTGCACCTGGGCTGAGGTAGGGAAGGGATTTGGAGCTGTGGATGCCAGTGTACCCGGGCTGAGGTTACGAAGGGATTTGGGGCTGGGAATGCCAGTGCACCCAGGCTGAGGTTAGGAGAATGGTGAAAATAGAATGCAGTAACCAAGGAGACCATGTAAATGGCTTGGCTCTGAGAAGCTGTTTTATCAGGGACTGATGCTGTGCTTCTCAGCCACACCATGGCAAAGTAAATCCTCTGTTGTCACACCATCAATACCTGCCCAAATAGAGCCAACATTTAGAACCAGCTGAACACAAGAGCTGCTTTCACACCTAAAAACCTGCAGGCAGCAGCAAGGGCTGTGCCATCTCCTCAGCTCATACTGGATTCCCACGTCGAGGATCCATCAATAGCCCAACCTCCTGCTCACCCACAGCATTGCCCACATCCCCTGGCCCTGCCTCTGTCCCCAGACCTACCTTGGGGACATTTGGCTGCGTGTCACCAGCACAGAGCCTGGATTCACGTGTGGGTCCAAGTGGTTGGTTTTGCCATCCTGGCTGGAAGAGCACATCAAACCCATGCCATTGACAGCTCCATGCAGTGAAAACAGCCTCGGATCAGCCACCGACTCAGGGTCCCACAAAGAGCTGCTCAGCCTCCCTCAATCATGTCCCTACACCTCCGGAGGGCTGAAGCATGTGGGATTTGTACCCTTTTCCTCCAGCACCAGCAGCGCTGGTTACACAGCAGTGCTTTACCAGCATAAAGCCTTTCACCTCCCAGCTGTGCCGTGGTGACTCGGTTTGGTGCAGCAGCACCCATGGGATCCCCGAAAACCCATGTGGGGATCTGCCTCGGCACCTGCAGGGCTCTGTAGGTGGGATCTCCCCCTGCATCCCACATCTGCCAGGGTCAGAAGACGGCCACTCCGGTGTGGAAAAGGCAGCAGCAGGCAGAGACGTGTGTTTCTCTCTCCCACCTTCACTCCTGTCAACCTACCAGATGTATTAAGGACTCATCTGGGTTATATAAGCTCTCATTAATCATCATCTAAGAGTATTTGCAGCATAGGAGTTCTTAAGGTCAAGAGATGCTACCCAAGGACACAACAAACACGCTTCCACTGCACGAACACTGAGTGACCTTGCAGGACAGAGGGCTGGGGATGCAGGGGGGCTTTTATCCATGGTCTTCCGGGGAGGGAACCACCAGAACACCCCATCGCTCCCATCGCCGGTGCCATGGGTCCCCTCCATGCACAACTCACACCACAGCTCCCCCTACACAAGGGCCCCAGGGCTCCCTCTGCTCACAGCGAGTCCCCATGTGCAGCCGTTTCCCTGCCCTAGGGAATGTAAATCCCCTTGGGGCTGCAGAGGAGCTGCCGACACCCGGAGCAGCCGCGGCTGCAGAACCCCCCCACCCGAGCTGCAGCATCGACTCTTCTCCCTGCCCACAAGGTTCCCTTGGCCTCCCATGA